TATAAATTGATTGTTTTTTAAAATTCTGCTTCCAGCACTCATTTTCCTCCTTGAATCCTTGTAATCGATAATTATACTGTAAATATTTACACAATAATTGTTCGAAGAAAATAGAATATTTATTCAAAGTATGGCAAATCAATCCACATCCCATCCGATTCTCTGTGCTACTTTCAATCAAGATAACAAGATAACAGGTAACACAAATTCTTAACCGAGATTTCGATTTTATTTATTTTTATGAATTAAAGGATGCATAGATTCATTTTGGATCAGCTGCTTTGTAATTGGAACGAGAGATGGGTTCAAAATCTTCGATTGTAATACTAGAAGACTCCTTTATGGGCAAGGTGTGTGTATATATATATATATATGTCAATTGAAATTCAGTTCTGTTATGGCTTACATTTTTTTTTTTTAATAATAACCTATTGAAATTAGTTTTCTTCTGTCAGTTATTGGGGCTTTTGCGATTGCTGAAATGCTATACAGTTTAAATCTTCTTGCCATTGTTAGGCCTGGTGAACATTTTTTTTTAAAAAATTACTAATGTTTATACTAGTTTTTTTCACCAAATATCGATATTGAACATTGGAGAACAATATATGGCTAAATTCATCCCAAGGAAGGCGATCTTGATCTTTCTTGAGAATCAAATATCTGAACAGATCAATAGACAATAACTGAATTTGCAAATCATCACAAAAAATATGATCTAACCAAGGGGGACGATCCATCATTTTAATCAAGTATCAATACGGAACTCCAAAAGGCAAGAACTTGTGCAACTCATCTTCAAATTTTTTTTCAAGTTGTTGTGCAAAATGAGGAGCACACGGATTTGACACTGGAGACGGGCCTATAGAAAAAAAAAATGATTGCAACATCGAAAGCTTGAATGAGCCCTGAATAGAAAATAATTTTCCTACATTGAAAATATAACTTTCATTTAAGAGAGATGACCAGTCAAATAGGAAGTTTTTGTATGAATTATCCAAAAAAAGAATTCGTAACATTTTTAGAAAATCGGATCAAAGAAACATGCAATAAGGTAAAATAATGGTCAATAGTCTCCTAACCAATATTGCACATCAAAAGTAAGCTAAAAAAATTCATGATTGAAAATAATTTGTCTTTTTATCTTAGTATGAAATTTAGGCACATTGGATGCAAAAAGATTAGCTAATTTGTCTTTTTATCTTAGCATGAAATTTAGGCACATTGGATACAAAAGGATTAGCTAACGCCATATATATGTAATTAGTGGTCAATAACCTAATTTGATAGAAAAATTATGTAATCGAACAATGGCCTTAGACAACAAATTGGCAACCCAGTGGGTATCATGTAATTGATGTAACATCGAAAGAAAGTCAACATATAAGTCATGCAAAAGAACTGGCGAAATCAATTTTGGTGCTAGGTCGATGACACATGGAATGTTTGACTTTGGTGGCAATACCATAGGTAGTTTTTCAATTGTGTTTTGGTCAACTACATCAAAAGTCGGTGCGAGAAGGGATATGGGACAAGTCTACTATTCTCGGCCTCACTATCAGAAGAGTCAACTGGTTCAACAATAAAAATCTCATTTTCTTCTTCAAGGGGATGACTAAGACAACTAGTCTTAGGAAGTGACTCCAGTGATTGGCTAGATGGTAAGCTTCATCTAAGGATTAGGATTGTCATCGGTAAAATTTCAGGATTTAAAACATCGAGAAACCTAGACGATGTAATTTGTGGAGCCTCATAAATATAACAATTGTGTAATAATTCTTCGAAATGGGCTAGATACTCACTAATAGTGGAAGTGCCTTGTTTACAGTTCAAAAATAATGATTTAATAATTGAGTTCAATAATACACGAGCATATTTATTACTTAAAATTTGTTTCATCTCATCTCACAAATCTTCCCTTTTTTTTGGTTGTAGATGGTTTAGGTGTTATGTTGGAAGTGGGCTACATGTAGGATTGTTGGGATGGGCCTCTTAAGTGAAATTGGGTTATTTGAGTATTAAGCTCGTAGCTTTGAATTGTAGTGTATGGACTGTTGTTTAATAGATTATAGGGAAGATTACATATTCAAGAGAATAAATTTAGTTTATTTCAAAAATAAAAAAATAAGTTTGAAATTTCCAAAATCAGATTTTTATTAAAACATTTTAAATTTTTATTTATGAAATAATAAATTATTAAATTAATTTATTATTAATATTTAATTATAATATAATATAATTAACCCATTCCACCTTCATCACCCCTACCGCTCCGGCGACCGTTCCGATCATCGCCCTACTTCGGCGAACTTTCCGACGACCGTTCCGGCGACTACTCCGATTCTGGCGACAGTTCCCGCGACGATTCCGGCGACCGTTCCGGCGTCGATTTTTCCCGGCGACTGCTCCGCTATATTTTTTGTACGGTTGACATATTTTTTTACGATTACAAGTCACAAGTCACAACCCATGTCAGGTCACAAGTCAAGAGTCATAAATCAAGTCACATGCCAGGTCATAAGTCACAAATCACCACCAAACCCGCAACATACACTACCACCACCACCATCTCCATTTACACCACCCCCACCACAGAATCCACAAAACCCGGCGACAGCCAACACATCAAAAACCCCGACTAAACGTACACACAATTCTACCATTCTGCTACAGCTTTCATCCTCGTTTTAACATCATCATATTTACAAAACTCCAAACCAAAACTAATAAAACTATCATCAATTTCCAATACCATATTATCATTTACCACAAATAAAAAATTCCCCAATTTATTATTTATCACAAGTCACAAATTCACAAATTTTCATAAATCATAAATCATCACAATTTACACACTAAATCAGATGAACAAGGACCTACGTTCTTTGTAAAACTGGAATCATTTTTCAAAGAGTTCACAGCAGAAGAATTTATTGCCCAAAAGCTCTCTAAATGCTTCTGATATGAATATTCCTCAGCTGGGACCTTCCGATGAAGCACCTTTGCAGCTAGTGCAGTTTCCATTACAAAGCTGGACGAGTTTCCCTTGTGCTGTAGCTGAAAAATGTTCAAATCGGTTTTCTCACAAACCTAAAAATATTCAACACAATCCACATTGTCATTATATAAAATACAAAAACGATAGCACCTTAGCATACGATTTTGAAAACCAAGAAATAGATGTAAATATGTATTAGGTTTTTTATTACCATGGCAACACGGATAGGGATGAGATGAACAGGTGTCCTCGGAGGTAAATGGACACGATCGATTTCATAAAGAAAACCCACCATTCAAATCGATGGCAATGGTATCATGATTAGAAGTCCAGCACTCTATGTAATCCTCGAAATCAACAAAAATCAATTGCAAAGGGTGGATTTATTGGGTGTCGATTGATATTTGGAATAAACGAGTTTGGGGTTATTTTGGGTCAATGCTGTCACTGTGGTTGTTGGAAGGTTGCTGTGTTTCTGGCGGTGGGATGGGTCGTCGGCGATAGTAATGGCTGAGTGGTAGTCGGCGGGATCTAGGTTGGACACCTGCCGACAGCATGGTCGCGACGCAGCGTTCACAACAGCATCGGCGGTTGGTGCGGTGCTCTGTTAGAGAGAGTCTCCGGCGATGGTAATTTCCCGTGGCGGCGACGGCAAGTCCATTTGTAGAGGAGGGTAGAGAGAGACGGTGAAGAACTGAAGATCGAAGGTAGAGAGAGACGGTGAATTGTTATATTGGTAAAAATATTTATTATATATATAATAAATATTTTTACCAATATAACAATCT